TTTGACAAACTTCCAAAATCAAATTATAAATTGTCTTTTTCTGACCCAGTTACTCCTTTAAGATACTAGGTTCCCTAAAGCCCAAACATGGCATAATTTGGCTTATTTGGTACAAAAATTACACAGGAAGCATTGTCAAATAAGAGACAGTGTTTGGCTTTCTCTGAGATGTATATGTATAAATATGTTATTGGTGTGTGTTCCAAAATTATGGGAAATTCCTGTAATTGTGATATGACCTAGTGTACATTATCAGTAATAATCATAATTGTTACGTTAACATTATTGTGTGCTACAGAGGAGAGGTAACAAATTTCCTTGTCAATTGTGTGTTTGACTATGGCTGCCCTAAAACTTTTAGTCATCCATGGATAATTGTTGTGTTGTTTTGGTCCTCTTTATAAAGTGTTTTGTTGTTGTTGTTGTTGTGGTTTTTTAAGATTCACTAAGTGTTTTATTCTTGATAATGTTTTCTTTGTTAAATTTGTTCTTTTTAATTAATCTTTAAGTTCTAGGGTACACGTGCACAATGTGCAGGTTTGTTACATATGTATACATGTGCCATGTTGGTTTGCTGCACCCATTAATTCGTCATTTACATTAGATATTCCTCCTAATGCTATCATTTCCCCATCCATCCACCCCACGACAGGCCCTGGTGTGTGATGGTCCCCGTCCTGTGTCCAGGTGTTCTCAATGTTCAATTCCCACCTATGAGTGAGAACATGTGGTGTGTCATTTTCTGTCCTTGCGATAGTTTGCTCAGAATGATGGTTTCCAGCTTCATCCATGTCACTACAAAGGACATGAACTCATCGTTTTTTATGGCTGCATAGTATTCCATGGTGTATATATGCCACATTTTCTTAATCCAGTCTATCATTGTTGGACATTTGGTTGGTTGGTTCCAAGTCTTTGCTATTGTGAATAGTGCTGCAATAAACATACACGTGCATGTGTCTTTACTGTAGCATGATTTATAATCCTTTGGGTATATACCTAGTAATGTGATCACTGGGTCAAATGGTATTTCTAGTTCTAGATCCTTGAGGAATCGCCACACTGTCTTCCACAAAGGCTGAACTAGTTTACACTCCCAAAAACAGTGTAAAAACATTCCTATTCCTCCACATCCTCTCCTGCACCTGTTGTTTCCTCTTGAATGCAGGTCTCCAATAACTTTGGAGATTGTTATGAGAATAGGGGAAAAACTTTCAGAACTCATGGAGAGCTAAAATCCTCATGAATATTAAGCAGAATAGGAATTAACTACGGGGACTGAACTAATCTTTTTGACTTTTTTCTTAAAACATTGCTGATCTTTTGCTTTGTTTTTCAGAGTCTTGAAACTTTTGAGCTATTGACAGCTTTTAACAATTTAGTATACTCCTATGAACAAAATTTGGAGCATATTTGTTTCTCTCTACCTGATTTCTCCAGAATTTGGAAACTATTTGTGAGTATTCTTAACTTGTGCCAATACAGTTATTTGCATAAGTGCAATAAGAATCTGTTTTCATTTGTAACAAGACACAATTGGAGAAACTGATTATTTTAGGAAGGCTTTGAGTGGAATGGTATACTTTCCTTTAAGAAATCAAATCTGAATTATGGAGACAATAAAAGCCCTTGGGAAAACTGGCCTCATACTTTACACAGTCCCTGTACAGAGTTTCTGACCTGTGCTAAGTAAAGAGTGTCATTTTCTGACAGGTCCAGGAGCCCCTGGTTTATTATGGAACATCAAAAAGAAAGGAAATTCACCCAACTCCTAGGTATTTGATGGTACAAATCCATGGCTGAGCTTGGATTTTAAAAAGTCTGAGATTCCTTCTATGGAACAAAGTTCCTTCAAAGCCAATTTTAAAAAGCCTATGTGAAAAATAATTATTCTTGCTACACTTTATACAAATAATCTGGTCAGGTATAATAAAGCGAATCAGTCCTACCATGATTTGTCTTTAGTAAAAATGGAAAACTGGAGAGAGAAAAATTATGTTTCAAAATCTATAGTCCACTTGTTGTTAGTGGACTATAGTCCACTAACTTGTTGTTAGGCACTAGTCTTGACTAATTTTTATCAATTTTTATTATTTTCTACAGTTTAGGCTGAATTCTACTTTTTTCTGGCTACAAGTCTCCAAAATAATATTTTTAATTTTTTTCTTCTTTCTTTTCCTTTTTTTCCTAATTTGGAGACACTGAAAACTAAACTGTGCTTTTGTAAAGCCCTGCAAACCGAAGCTAGACAACTTAAACTTCAGAAGAAAATAACAGTAACCTATTTACATACATAAGCCACTTTCATACCTACCTACTGATATATGGACTTCAGAACAATGTAGCCCATGTATATTTTCCAGAATTGTTCTTTTGTTTGTTGTTTTTTTCCCTTCCTCCCCCTATTTTCTCTTCACAGGACATGAGACTGCACAACCTTCTAAAAATTAGCTTTCCTAATAACTTGGGACCTACCTGTCTAGGAATAAACCATCCTAGCATGAGAGATCAGATGAAATCTGGGACCAAAGACTCATTTTGCTTCTAAAATGCTTTCTCCAAAAGATTTTTTTTTAAAAAAGAAAAGAGGGCAAATGTAAAGGAAAATATCTTGGGCCCCCAAATCACTAAGTTAAAAGGAGAATTCAAGCTGAGAATTGCTTAGAGCAAACCTGCCTCCCATTCTATTCAAAGTCATCCCTCTGCTCACTAAGATAAATGTGTATCTGACTGCCTCCTTTGGAAAGAAACTCAAAAGAATGCAACCGTTTGTCTCCCACCTACCTGTGACTTGGAAGCCCCCTTCCCGCTTCAAGTTGTCCTGCCTTTCCGGACCGAACCAGTGTTCTTTTTACATATATTTGTTGATGTCTCATATCTCCATAAAATGTATAAAATCAAGCTGTGCTCTGACTACCTTGGGTACATGTTGTCAGGACCTCCGGAGGCTGTGTCACCGCGTGTGCATCCTCAACCTTGGCAAAATAAACTTCCTAAATTAACTGAGACCTGTCTCAAATTTTTGGGGTTCACAAGGTTTAGTTATAAATGCTTCTTATGGAACGTCATTTTCTTATAAGTGAGGCAGGAGAATAGCGTCTGGAGGCAGGCAACCTAGGGCTGTTTCAAGCCGACTTCCTATAAGTAAATTGAAAGGAAAACCCTTTGAAAGGAGAAGTTTTTCTCTCTCTCCAGTTTTCCATTTTTACTAAAGACAAATCATGGTAGGACTGATTTGCTTTATTATACTTGACCAGATTATTTGTATTAAGTGTAGCAAGAATAATTATTTTTTACATAGGCTTTTTAAAATTGGCTTTGAAGGAACTTTGTTCCACAGAAGGAATCTCAGACTTTTTTTTGTTACTTTCCACACCAAGTAACAAAAGAACCAGCGGCTTCTCCCTTTCCAAACCTCCACCTTTTCTGTGTGGCAGATGGGAAACTGAAAGTACCTTGATTGGTTGCAAAAAGCAAAATTATGCTAAGAAGTTAGCCCTTATAAAAAAAAAATTATGCTTTCTGCAACCAATCAGATCTTCCCATAGGAGTGTAACTATGTAACTTCACTTTAGCTTCTGATAGCATAGCAAGTCTTTGTTTGCATATTAAGTGGAACTTTGTAACTTCACTTTAGCCTCTGATTGGTTGCTTTTCACAGCCAACTGTGGGACACCACTTCATTTACATGAGATGAGTACCAAGTGGCTAACAGGAGACTTCCATGGGGTATCAGGGCCCTTGAGCTGGTGCTCCACACCCTAAACACAGGCGTGTCCTTTCATTTTCAATAAATCCCTGCTTTTGGTGGGGCATGGTGGCTCACGCCTGTAATCCCAGCAGCACTCTGGGAGGCCAAGGCAGGTGGATCACCTGAGGTCAGCAGTTTGAGACCAGCCTGACCAACATGATGAAACCCTGTCTCTAATAAAAATACAGAATTAGCCAGGCGTGGTGGCGCATGTCTGTAATCCCAGTTACTTGGGAGGCTGAGGCATGAGAATCACTTGAATCTGGGAGGTGGAGGTTGCAGCGAGCAGAGATCGTGCCACTGCACTCCCGCCTGGGCGACAGAGCAAGACTCTGTCTCAAAACAACAACAACAACAACAACAACAAACAAACACCTTCAAGGCCAGGTGTGGTGGCTCACACCAGTAATCCCAGCACGTTGGGAGGCAGAGGCAGGTGGATAACCTGAGCTCAGGAGTTCGAGACCAGCCAGATCAACATGGAGAAACCCTGTCTCTACTAAAAATACAGTATTAGCTGGGCATGGTGGCACATGCCTGTAATCCCAGCCACTCAAGAGGCTGAGTGAGGCAGCAAAATCGCTTGAACCGGGGAGTTGGAGGTTGCAGTGAGCCGAGATCGCGCCATTGCACTCCAGCCTAGGCAACAAGAGCGAAACCTCTTCTTAAAAAAAGAAAAATGAAAACAAACACCTTCGGGCTTTGTGAGTGCTGGTCTCCGAAAAGCACTCCGTTTTACTCCAAGGGCTAACTTAATTTCTTCAGGAGTTGCATGCCTTTGAGAAATTTCCCAAACCACTACAGAGGAACAACTTCTCCCTTCGTCCACCACTCTACCAAGCACTTGGCTTTCGTACCTCATTGCAATTATTTATCTTCTAATCCTCCAGAGTCTAGAGAATTAGACTGTAATGTGCCTTAAATGCAGACGTTTCTCTTATTCTTCTCTGGGTCCACGCAGACACTTGTTGGTTGAAGGATCAAACTCCAAAGTCCCTCCCAGCCTTACAACTGAGGAATTCTGTCTCCACGACTCATAACCATACCTATCTATGTTTAGATAGAGAACTTACGGGTTCGATCCAGCATATTTAGGAGCTCCATTAAAGTAGTAATCATTACCACTAAGGTAAATTTACAGGCGTACTAGAACAGAACCTAACAAGAGATAATTATTCAAAGCTCACAACAGCACCAAGCACGGTGCTCTCTTTCCCTTCATTAGAAGCCAAGGCTTCGCCTCCCATACCTTTCCCAAAATTCTGTCAAAACCGCGACTCTTTGTCATGGCCTTTATCACCTCCCGCAGATTCAGAGTCACGCTGTTCATCGTGGACGGTTTTCCGGCCTTTGGGCTCTGCGCAAGAACGAACTTTGGAAGAGGTGGAAAATCCAGAAGTTCGTGAAAGAAGGACACAGAGGGCGAAGAGCCTGCACCCTTCTCCGCCCCTAGGAGTGCAACAGGCCGGACGTCACGCCAGCTGGAGGCCACGGTGGTCTGCGATTTGCTCACTGACGTTTCCCGCACGCTTGTGACCACGCGCGCACGCGCGCTTCGCCCCCACCACCTAGGCGGCTCGCCTGCGGCGCAGCGGCACCGATTATTCTCCGAGAGCGGGGCGAGTTTCCCTGCCGGGCGGTTGATGCGGGAGCGCCGTGGCGCAGGCGCCTGCGCAGAGCCGGCCGTTGGCCTCCTGTTCCGCTTAAAGGGGCGGTGCGGAAGCGGCAAGAAGATGGAGCTGGGGAGTTGCCTGGGGGCGGCGGAGGAAGAGGGCGAGCCAGAGGTGAAGAAGCGGCGACTTCTGTGTGTGGAGTTTGCCTCGGTCGCGAGCTGCGATTCCGCTGTGGCTCAGTGCTTCCTGGCCGAGAACGACTGGGAGATGGAAGTACGCTTTTGCTGTCTTCGCGTCCCGCTCCGTTAGCTAGGTCGGTGGAGCGCACAAACCTCATCCCTGGTGCCTTTGTTTTTCAGAGGGCTCTGAACTCCTACTTCGAGCCTCCGGTGGAGGAGAGCGCCTTGGAACGCCGCCCTGAAACCATCTCTGAGCCCAAGACCTAGTAAGTGATGAGGGGAGCTGGGAGCCAGTCCGGACGGAGGCAGTTTGACACCAGGTTGCGCTGCGCGTCCTGGGACCTGCCGTGTAGTTGGGCAGAGGATGCTGAGGCAGATCTCCAAGCTGCGCAGCCAGAGGAGCAGGGCTTGCGTTGCTGCTGCTGCGCGGAGATGCGCCCCAGCAGCGGATCTAACACTCCCCCATACTGTCACTTCGAACGTGATTTGGAGTCCAGGGAAATGGAAACGTAATGTTTGACTCAAATGATAGGAAGTAAGTAAGCGAGAGGTTTGAAACGAATGAAGGCAAAAATCTTCCGTCGAAGAATGGCAGCTTGGAAGTCTCCTTGCTTCCTGAATTGTTTATTTATTCTAGGCCTTAGGCTGGCCAGCCAGAATAATAGGTTTTTTGTTGTTGTTATTTTTTTTAATGCACACCTACTCCTGTTATTTCAGTGCCCCTCTCCAGTTCCTGCACTACTGCTCTTGAAAAGTGTAGATGCCTTACAAGGCCCTCTACTATTTGGCTCCATAACTTGGAACCTGTCTTTCCAGGTTCCAGGCATATCAAACTTTTACTTTTTTCCAATGGGTCATTTTCTCCTGTCTTTGAACCTTCGTAAAGATCTTTATTACCTCTACTTGGATTTTTTTTCTTTTTCCTTCCTTGCTAGTATGTATCTTAAAGGCCCAAGCTGAGACACGATTTATCTCCAGGAAACTTTTCCTGATGTCCTAAGTCTAGGTAAGGTTCCCCTTTTAGGTACTCTTATATCATCCTGCGTGACCCCTGTTATAATAACTTAGTCCATATTGTAAGTGCTGTTCGTTGTTTTATGTCTCTTACTGGACTGCACATCTAGTAAGGAGTATCTGTTTTTATACATTGTTAATTTCCCAAAGTCTGACAACATCTGACACATCATAAGCTCCCAATAAATATTTACTGAATGTATAAAATTCTCCCAGTTATATGTACAACTTGTAAAATTGACTGTTCATAGTGGAGACTGTATTTTCCCTTTGGTCTTTTCAGCTGCATTGTCTTACAGATGTGATAAGATATTTTCATTAGGTTCCTTTCTCTGTCTTGCCTCTTGTTGGGGAATTGTCTGCTCTCACACAGTGATTTGTCTCTGGCTTCCGTTTTACTAACCAGAGCAAGTTGGTCTAGGAGGTGTTCACCTAGCTCAGACTGGCCAGTCAGATCCTCTCCTTGGTTTCAGAATTAGGACCAAGAGAGTCAAGTCTGAGTCTTCCTATGGAGCTGGAACTGTAACGTGTTAACTTAGCACCTGTGAGGATTCATACGTATCTTTTTTTGGGTACAGAGAAGCTGAGAACAGAGGTCTGCAGCGAGAGAATGAAGCAGAGGGAAGTTGAAGTGTAGGATTGAGAGAAAGCCCTTAACTGCCCTTCCTTAAACATGGCTGTATTTCTGTACCAGGCTCTGTGACATGTTGTTTCCTTATAAATTCACCTGTTTTGGTCAAACCAACCTGAGTTAATGTCTGTTGGTTGCAATAGACTGTATCGTAACCAATAAATAGTAACAAAATAAGTGGATTTCCTGGAATAGGCCCTCAGAAAAGATGCGGATCAAGCTGAGCAATGGTGTCATGGCTATTAGGATTCTCTTACCCCGGAATGGTAAATTGGCAAAAACAAGCAAAGGTGTTGATTAGGCTGTGGTCTCTTGTCTCTCAGAACTCAGGTCAAGTATGAATGAGAGTGAGGTTTTAAAGTTTAGTTTGCTGAAGAGAGAAAAATGGGGAAGGGGCAAACTTCAGGGTGTTTCTAAGGCCTGTGCATTCACAGAGCGTGCGGTGATTAGATTTTTGATATTGGCTTTAGCAAAAATGAAAGGAAAAGAAAAAAAATTGATTGGAAGATTTTATGACCAGAGAAACTCAACCCTGCTGAGCAAGGGCATTGGCTGTCTTAAATAATTGGGGCAGGAATCTCAATTCTGGAGTGAATTCCTGGGATATCAACAAAAATTGAAATTGAACACTAAAGTGATTTAGCCCCCTACATTAGAATCTATCTTTAGTGTCTCTGATGAGATACCAGGGGAATCCTCTTAAAACAGCTATGCTGAATCTTAGCTGCATATTGGAATTATCTGGGGAAATAAAAAAACAACAACAACAGATTCTAATTAGTCTTGAGTAGGGCCTGTGTATTCCTCATTGTATTTTTTTTTTTTTTTTTTAAGCTGTGCAGGTAATTCTAATGCAGAGCCAGCATTGACAGCCCATGTCCCAGAGCCTTGTTACTCAGAGTGTGGACTCTGGACCAGCAGCATGCTACTACTACTTGCGAGTTTGTTAGACATGCAGAATCTTAGGTCTCACCCAGACCTACTGAATCAGAATTTGTATTTTGACAAGATCTCCTGGTGATTTAAAGTTGAAGAGCACTGGCCTAACACATAAAACCTGAGACACCAGATATACTGACAAAAGCGCTTCCTCATCTGCTTAGGAATGAAGTCAAAAAATCATGCCCTTAACATTCACCAGTCCCTCTCTGTTCCCTTAGTATTTCTGTACAGCAATGTTTTAGAGTTTATTTCCCTTTTCATTTTCCCAAATGGAAATTTTAAATACAGTTGCCTGGTTTTTCTTGCTGCATTAAATATTAAATATTGTGGGTGTTGCATAAATTGCAGAGATATTTGTGTTAGGTTCTTGCATTGCTATAAAGAAATACCTGAGACTGGGTAATTTATAAAGAAAAGAGATTTAATTGGCTAACAGTTCTGCAGGCTCTACTGGAAGCAAGGCCCCAGCCTTTGCTGGGCCTCAGGAAGATTTCAATCATGGCAGAAGGGAAGGGGGAGCCCAGGTATCACACGGTGAGCACAGGAGCAAGGGGTGGGGTGGTGCCACATACTTTTAAACAACCAGATCTTGCAAGAACTCGCTAACGTGAGGATAGCACCAAGACATTTATGAGGGATCTGCCCCCATGACCCAAACACCTCCCACTGGACCCCACTTCCAACATTATGGATTATATCTCAATATGAGATTTGGAGGGGACAAACATCCAAATTATGTCAATATGGAATTGGATTGCAATGAAACTGGAGGAGGAAAGGATGGCATAGTGAATAAGAGCATGGACTCTGGAGCCAAAATGCAAAGGTTCTAAGTCCACCTGTGCTGTTTAGTAACTGTCTAACCTCTCTCTGCCTCAATTTCTTTGTGTAGTGGGGATAGTAATAAGGTTCTAAGTCTACCTGTGCTGTTTAGTAACTGTGTAACCTCTCTCTGCCTCAGTTTCTTTATCTGTGCGACCTCTTCCTCATGGGGTTGTGGTAAGGATTAAGTGAGCTGATAGGTGTAAAACACTTGGAATTGTGCCTGGCATATAGAACTCAATAAGTATAAACTATGGTTAATGACACCATCATGCTCTCCCCATACATCACCCATGACAGTCCACCCATTGAGGAAAGTAGGGGTTGTGTTTACAGTTTTATGAAGTAGATTGAGTTATAGTTGGACATCTTTAAACTTGGAAAAAAAGGTGTGTGTGCCAGATAGGTAGGGGGCCTAATGTGATTAACCAACACCTTTGTCTTTGACAGTATATGTATTTTTAAATCCAATTATGAAACAGAAGATTTGACAGAAATAAAGAGCTAATAATTTTTCCTTTCTGGTTTTAATGCTTTCCATAAAAAGGAAACAACATCTTTGATCAGGCATGGAATCACTTGGCTTTTTCTCTATGGTGGTAAGATGAAGGGGGCCTGCCCCTCCACACTTGTGGGTATTTCTCATCAGGTGGGACGAGAGACTGAGAAAAGAAGTAAGACACAGAGACAAAGTATAGAGGAAGAAAAGTGGGCCTAGGGGACAGGCGGTCAGCATATGGAGGACCCGCACTGGCACTGGTCTCTGAGTTCCCTTAGTATTTATTGATCACTATCTCCACCACCTCGGTGAGGGGGATGTGGCAGGACCATAGGGTAATGGTAGGGAGAGGGTCAGCAGGAAAACGTGAGCAAAGGACTCTGTGTCATAAAATAAGTTTAAGGAAAGGTGCTGTGCCTGGATGTGCACGTAGGCCAGATTTATGTTTGACTTTACACAAACATCTCAGTGCAATAAATAGCAGTATTGCTGCCAGCATGTCTCACCTCCAGCCATAAGGCGGTTTTCTCCTATCCAAGTAAATAGAATATATGACCGGGTTTTACACCGAGACATTCCATTCCCAGGGACGAGCAGGAGACAGATGCCTTCCTCTTATCTCAACTGCAGAGAGGCCGCCTTCTTTCACTAAT